TGGGCATCACCAATATCGAGTGAGGCAGCGACCACATTAATGAACTTGCAATTAGTCAGGCACGCCATTGATTATGTTCTTCGGCAGGCACAGGCTCCGTGCTTTGGAGTAAACCTTACTTTTTGTCTGTTCTACGAAGCGAATTAAATTAATTAATTGATTATTAATTATCCACGGCATATCGAGAACGCATTGATAGAGAGATTAATTTATCGTGGGTAAAAAAACAAAAGAAAACTCGCTCTGCCTTAAATTTCGTTCGCACCCCAAAATTTTCATTATTAAATTGGTAAACTTTCTGCACATCACGGCACAGATCTGAGGAATAAAAGAAATGTTTTTGTTTCGGTGTAATGATTCTTCGAGAGGTTGATAAATGAGAAATATATTTTTCGAAAAAGGGTCTTTGTTAAATAGCGCTTTTAGGGTAATTGTTAACCACACCGAATAAAGAAACATTTTCATTTTTAATTTTTTTTTAACATAATAGGAGAAAAAAGATACTTTGAAAATGACAAACTTTCTTTACTTGGATGTTTCATAGGTGCCCGAAACACTGGTTGATAAAATCCTTTCAAAATAGGAAATGTTGATTTTTGCTTTTCTTTTTTGCCATGAAACAATCGAATTAAGTGACCAATATGCACGTTTCAATTTGACTAAAACTTTTTTGTATGTACTGATCAACGTTGAGGCACACGTGTGAATTGTATTAGAGAAGTCATACATCGAATATTTGGTATGGTATAGAGCCGTTAATATATCTTAATTAACTCATAATTCAATGCTCTAAACTTTGAGTTAAGTTAAAGTCCAACTAGTTGTGTTGATGTGCTCGAAATTAGTCTTCCTCTTGGCGGTCTTTCGGTGTGAAGATATCGTGATTGCTGCTCACATCTCAAGAATCAATGTGCAATCGAGAAACGTTAATAATGTCGTCAAAGCTTTGGTTAAGCATACTTAATAATACTATTTAGTTCAATATCTTAAAAATCGGTTATTTATAATACGAGAAAAGTAGATCGGTTCATTGGAAATTGTAATTCTTTTATGAGGTAACTTCTTCTGATAAGTACCCTCAAAGTCTCTACTTAACATTATCCATAAAAATTATCCACGATAATAGTGCTCCTTTCCCAAACAACTTGCTTCTATACATTACTTCAAGAGCACTTCAAGGAGCATAAGTCAAAGATTTCCACTAGCTCCCTTTATGCCCGAGTGATTGACGAATTTTCACTTTGTGTCCTTGGTGATACTTTTTGTCCGAAATATGTATAGGAAAGAAGGGTCTAGATGAATGAAGAAAAACAGAAACATTAGCAGTAAAAATGTTTACCTCCATCACCAATTTTATGTTATGAACAAGATTAATATCATATATATTACATCTCATAATTGAAATTTAATCGGATTATGGTCGTGTAATTCTTTTTTATTCACACATTCAACATTGGAGGGATTACACATGGATGAATTCAATCACAGAACTATATGTAAGCACGCATGCCATCAATCTAACGTTCAATGCAGTAATTTCCATTAATTCAAGTTCAGGGACTACATTGAACATTTTCATATAGTTCAGGGACTGAATTAAATATGTACCAAAAGTTCAGGGATGACATTGAACAAATTAAAAGTTCAAGAACTAAATTAAACATTAGCCTAAAGTTCATGGACTACATTAAACAAATTAAAAATTCATGAACCAAATTGCATATTGGGCCATAATTCAGGGACTATTTGTGTCATTTTCCCATCCAACTATGAATGAATGAAAAAAAATTTATATTGGTAATAGACCTAGTAATTGCTACAACTAAAAGCTGCCTTTATTAATGGTGTTAAATGTGAAATGTGTAAAAAAAGATTGCACAACTTGTGTAGTTAACAATGTTGCACAAAATTCAAGAAAGGTGGGTGGTTATTTTTAAGGGGTATCGGTTCTGAGTGGATTGATTCTCACCTGAATCCAAAAGATTGGAATTGGGAATCGAATCAACATGTTCAGGAAACTACCTGAATCGGCCGGTTTCAATCCAGTTCTCGGTTCTAGCTAGGAATCATCGCATTTTAACTAAGAACCGTCCCATTCGTTTTAGGGAAGAACCATATCCTGATAATAAAATATAAATATTGTACCATTTCATTACACAAGCATTAGTTAGTCAAGTGGTTATGTTGATATTTATTCATGTTGAAGAACATTATTTGACTCTTGATTATTGTAAAAGTATTTTTTTTCCTCTAAAAGAGATTTCAAAGCCAGTTCGGAACCGAATCAGTTCCTAGGTGGAACCGGCGGTTTCAGCCTTGAAATTAGGAATCGAACTAAGTTTGCGGAATTGGGAACCAAATCAGTTTTGATCGAGGTAGGTTCGGTACTGGACCCGGTGCTCACCCTTAAGTTATTTTTAACTCAAAATCATGCCAAAATGCCACTTGAAGATAGGTTGCTCGTGTTATAAGAGCATTAGATTTAGAATATCGAGAACGCAGTGATATGTCTCTTTACCGTAAGTTGCCTCCTTTTGCCATATGAAAAGTCGCTGTCTGTTCCTTTGTTGTGCCAAGGAGAAAAGAAAAGCAGAAAAGTCACTCTGCACATCACGGTCTGATACGAGGAATGAGAGAAATATTATTGTCTTGGTGCGATAATTCTTTGCGTGATTAATATACGAGAAATATATTTCCGAAAAGACTGTTTATTGACTAGTGTTGGAGTACTCGTTGGCCACACTTAATAAAGAAATATTTTCATTTATAATGCATTGATTATAGCATGAGAAAGACGGTACTTTAAAAATGACAAGCTTCCATAACTTAGATGTTCAAGAAGTGCCCGAGATAATTCTTAATGAAATCCTTCCGAAAATGGAAAATGTTAGATTCCGCTTCTTTGTTTTTTGCCACCACGAAGCAGTTGAATTATGTGACCAGCATACATGTTTCAATTTAATTAATACTTTTGTGCATGTGTTAATCAATGCTGAGGTGCACGTGTGAAATTGCGTTAGAGATGTCTCTCTTCGGAGATTTGGTATGAAGCGGTTAATATATCTTAAAAATACATAACTTGATGGTTCAATTTTGAGTAAAGTTAAGTCCAAGTAGATGTGTTGATGACCTCACATTTAGTACTCCTCTTAGCAGTTTTCCTGAGTGAATTGGTATGATATGGAGCGATTAATATATCTTAAATATTACATAACTTGATAGTTCAATTTCGAGTGAAATTAAGTCCAAGTAGATGCATTGATGGGCTCAGAATTAGTATTCCTCTTAGCCGTTTTCCTCAGTGAAGGTGTCGTGACTTATTCTGCATGTCTCAACAATTAACATGCAACTGAATCGTGTTAATAGTGTCCTCGGAGCTTTGATCAAGCATACTTTGCAATACTATTTAGTTCAATATCTTAAGTATTGATTGTACATAACACGACAAAAGTACATCGGTCTATTAGGAATAGTAATTCTTTCATGACTTAGCTACTTTTTGATAAGTACCCTCGACACTACTAAACTAACTTCATAAAAAATTTCCACGATAATGCTTTTTTACCGAACAACTTGATTCTATACATTACTTAAAGAGCACTCCAAGGAGCACAAGTCAAAGATTTCCACTAGCTCCCTTTAAGCACGAAAGATTGAGGCGATTCACTAGCAGTAAAAATATTCTGTCTCCATCACCAGTTTTATGTTTTGAACAAGATTAAAATTGGATATTTATAACATTTTGCGTAACTTTTTTTTATTATACATTTCGCATCTATCATTATTGAATTTTTAGTAGGTCCACTGTCAGCGTAATTTTTTTTTCCTGATGAATGACACATGAATAAATTCGGTTATGGAATTATCTATAAGTACTCGTGTCATCCATCTAACTAGAAATGTATGGAAAAAGTTTTACAATGGTTGTAGACCTAATAATTGCTAAAATTATATCTGCCCATTTTAATGGCGTTAAATGCGAGATGTGTTAAAAAAAAGATAATACAGCTTGTGTACTTAATATTGTTGCAAATATTTATAGAATGGTGGATGATTATTTCTAGGGGCGATTGGTTCAGAGTGGGTCACTTTCCTATGTGTAGAACCGGGAACCAGACCTATTACGCTGGTTCCTGATTCTACTTAGAAACCGTCCCATTTTATATTTTCGGCAAAACACTACATTCTTATAATAAACTATAAAGTTGTATGAGTTCACTTCAAAATCATTAGTAAGTGCTTATGTTGTTATTTGTTCATGTTGAAGAATGTGGTTAAATTTTGCTCCGTACAATTTTCGCTTTCTTTTTTCCAAAAAGAAGCTCCAAAATTAGTATAGAACCGATTTAACCAGGGAACCGGACTGGATGGACCGGTTCCTAGGTCCAAGGCCACTTCTACATTTTTTGAACCGGGAATCGAACTAGTCTTGGGCTGGTTCTAGGTTCACAGAAGTGGCCCAATTTGGTCTGGTTCTCGAGTTGAACAAACCCAGTGCTCACGCTTTGTTTTTTTTAACTTAATGTCATGTGCCATATGTCACTTGAAGAAGGTTGCTCCCGTAACAAGAGTATCCAATATAGAGGGATGGCGTTTAAAAATAGGTGAAGTGTGCAAAAAAAGGAAAAAAGCCACAAAAAATCCCAAACTATACTCACTGTGATACATTTATCTTAAACTTTTGTTTTTGTGACACTAAAAATCACAAACAAAGCCAACTATGACACATTTACCATCTGTTAAAGTTTCGTCAGATGATTTTTCAACCAAAACAAAATCGTTTTTATTTCACTTAAGTTACCTGAGAGCCAATTAACACCATTTGCCTTCCGGCATCCATATAGGAAAATTTTAACGGTGTTCATTGACGGAACCTTGACGGAGGGTAAATGTGTCACACAGGTACAAGTTTGAGATTTTTGTGTTACAAAAAAAGTTTAGGGCAAATGTCACGATGGGTATAGTTTCAGGTTTTTGATGGTTTTTTCTTTAAAAAAAAAAGAAGAAGACAAAACCCATAGGATATTTGGCTTAAAGTTAAAAGTGAAAAGATGTATGTTTTTGAATTGGTGCGGGGCACAAAAGCTCCTGAGAGGACAAGTGAACTGTTCTGAGGGAATATATTCAAAGAGGAGAAGAAAGATGATGCAATTGCAAATCTTCCACAGATTGGACGTGTTCTTCGTATTAGAGGTAAAGTTGTTTCTACACTTTGCAAATTTGTTACCAAACTCTCCACTTTATTTCCTTTCCTTTCGATTCCTCTCGTCTCTTGCCAATGTCAGCCCAAACGCACTTGCAATCCCAACCTCTCCCTTGTACTTCCCCTTACGCTTCCATTGCTAGTAATAAATAAGAGAAGAAAAGAGCCTCTCGTTCATTTGGGTTTGTTCCGTACCTTTTTTTTAAGGAATAAGTATATCGAAAGTCCTTAAGACTTGTCGCGAAAGTACAATTGAGTCCAAAAAACCTTCAAAAAGTGCAATTGAGTTCGAAAACTTATCAAACTGGTATAGTCAAGCCCCTATGTGGACTCATTCTGATGTGACTGACGGAAAATGCAATCAAGTTTTAGAACTTCTAATATACTGTTGCAAATGAAGTTGCGTATAGGTCTTCTATACTTATAAATCACACAATATATAGCAAACTTGATATTGGGTATGCAGTTGCTTGGCTTCTTTGTTATGACATTAAAGTAGTTTGCTTCTTTGACAACATTCCTTGTACAACTATGTTTGTGGTGTATGTGTCCTCCATGCACGCATGAACACACGTCCATGTCCAGCTCATAATTTTCCGCTTTTCGTTCGTCTTCTAAACGATCCATTACCTTTCTTTTTTCTTGGGTATTCAATAGAAATAACTTTTCTTGTGCTGAGCAATGAATTACCTTTCCAGCCTAACAAATTTTCTAAAATTGGTAGATTACGGTGTCGTAGTTACACACTTTATGGCCTCTTCCAAAAAATCACAAATTCATTGTCAGTCGCCAAATTTAGGATTATCGAATTTGAGAGAGAGGGAAAACAGTTTTGATTAAGCGCTTATGTAAGATAAAGCAAATAAATAAGCAATCTTAATAGAGCGTCATAGAAAACAAGGAAAAAGTATAAAAAAAAAGTCATAAACATTTTGTATTGGTACCGATTCAGTCATAAATATTTCAATTGGACCAATTTAGTTATAAACATATTCACATTGGTACCAATATAGTCAATCTGACCAATTTACGCTAGAAATTTCTAACGTGGATGCCGATGGTCCTGCGTGGCATGGCCTGCACTGACAGGGATATTTTTAATAATTTTTTTGAATTTTTTTATTTTTTTTCTTTCCCTTCTTTTCGTCGATGACCAGGGAGGGCTGTCCTCGCCTGGGCGAGGGCGAGCGCCAGAGAGGCCACCCTCGCCAAATTTGGCGGGGTTGAGCATCGCCTAGGCAAGGGTTGTCCTTGCTAGGCCTCGCCTATTGCCTGGGCAATGGCTAGTGACATCGACTCTCGCCAGCTATCGGTAGAAAGAGAAGGGAAAGAAAAAAAAATTATTAAAAATGTTCACGTTAGCACCTAACGTGTCACATTGGATGATCAGCGTTCACGTTAGTAATGTTTTGCCTAAATTAGTCGGATTGACTGAATTGGTATTAATGTAAAAATGTTTAAGATTAAATTGATGCAATTGAAACATTTATGATCGAATTGGTATCGATGCAATAGGTATATGACTTTTTTTATACTTTTCCCTGGAAACAATAAATAAGACGAATTTCCCAAAAAATAATTAAGATTGACTTGAATCCCTGGTACGTCAATGACACAGAAAATCAGAAAAATCAAAGAAAAGGGGCAACAAAATGAAAGAAGCGTTTGAACTCTTGGTCAAGCATTTGTCAAGTAGGGAAACCAATTCGTTGACTGTGGTGTAGTTTCCTTGAGCTTTTCGACGTGCCAAATCGTCAATGGTGGTGAAATAGAACCACCAGATTTTGATTAGGTACCGACTCCAACTTACCTCGGATTTGATTGGATCTTGTGATAACCAATTATCGAGTCTCTTTCAATAATTTAATGAAATAATTTTGACTATGAGTAATTATCGATCAATTGATCCCCCTGTTTCGTCAACGCCAACCATTTTGACTTGGCTCTTCTTAGTCCTCAAGTCAATGCTTCTTAAACCAACCAAAGTCTTCAATGAACCTTCGTTGTTATTGATCCCACATGGTCATGCTCATGGATTTTAATACAGATCATTGACTCAAGAGCTTACTTGTGTTAGTTTTTTTGCTACTTCTGTTTTTAAATTAAGAAGATTAGTCGAGTTGCGGGTTAGCCTGGTCTTTTTTGACTAGTACTAAGTGTGGAAATATTTAATTGAGGAGGCAAATGGGGTCCGGAAAGAATTTGAACTCGGGACCTCCACCACTGTTACCATATGAGATTTTGGTGAGGTCACTATCAACTGTTCTAAAATTTTAAGCTGTTAGATGAATGCATAATTTAATATTTAAATATTCTAATAGACAGGGTGATCGAGAGACTCTGCATTTTAAAAAACGCGAAGTATCGAGTAGGTTTAGTTTCATGACATTTGAGATGTCGGATCAATTTCCGGATCGAGTTGCTCAATAATGCAACGTTCTAGATGGATTCACGTCAACAAAATAGTCGATTTTTCTATCCAACTATAGTCATTTGCACTAATAATAATGTTCTTATCATTTAATTCGATTTGTCAATTGATCACCGGGAATTGTACTAATTTTTTGTTGTCTTTTTGCTTAAAGATTGTTTCGATTGTGGTTCTTTTGATGAAATCGCACGGTGCGTAATCCATCATGCACTTTCTTATATCGAGAAAGAGCCAATTTACAAATCGTTCTGTATTTCCCTTCATATATGATTGGGGAAAATTTTCTCCAACCATTCTTCTTATTAATGCAGGTTACAAGTTATGAAAGTTACCCACACGCAAGCTTATTCAACTATACTAGCGGATGATATCCATGTCTGTAACCCACCAAAAAAAAAAAAAATTACGGGATTGAACGGAAAATATGGCCCTATCGGAGCACTATACGAAGATGATTTTTTTTTTCCATATGTTATCTAGTCATGACATGCAAAATATATATTAATCGTCATATATTAGAATAGCTAGCCTATGTGAGCTAAATCTGTCCACACACTTAATCGCAAGGCAAAAGATAGAGATTATGCTTATCTCTTACACTCCTCAGCATCTTGTGTCATGCTTATAAGTCATGAACCGATAAGTCAATGCGTATCTTTTTATTAAGGGAGTCAAAATCTCGTCCAAGGTTTATAATTGTAAAAATGGAGTAATGCCGTGTTAACCACGCCGTTGATTTAAGTTTGTAAAAGCAAGTAAACGTCGTGCGATTATTTAACTTGTTTAATCTAATTTAAAGGTTTCTTAATTTACAAGAATATTTGATTACGACTAACAATAAAGACAGCAACATTTTCATTAAACAATGTTCATCGTGTGTGAATGCTTGTTACATTTTTTTTCCTGTTTTATTGTTCCATAGAACATTTCGTCCGTTAAAATAAATATTGACTAACTAGAACAAGAAAAAAAACACATTATAGTAGCATGTGGAAGCTATTGGGACATGCAAATTAATTCTCCATAGTAGTTTTGTTTTGAATTTGGAAAGGAACTTTTATATTCCTAGTTTTTCTGAAAATTTGATTTCAGTTTCAAGACTATTGTCATTGGGCTATTTTTGTAACCTTTCAGATTCAAATATTTAAATGACAAGATAAAAAGGATACAATTAAAGTAAGTAGAACGATGGTGTGAATTTTTAGCGAAACGCATATTGCAATCGAGATGGATTCATATAATTTCCTAATTCGATAACCTATTATTTATAAGATGAAATTCAAATAAAAAAAAGAAAACTCAAGTTCAAGATAACTTTTTCTTCTGAATGCTCTTGAATATAGCTTTAAGGAATTCGGATCAATTTTGTTGCGGAAAGCAAAAAAGTTCACATTCTTAAATAGAAACGATTTACAACCCTTTGGCATCAAAATATTCATCCGTTAAACTAAAATTAGACTTGCCAATAGACATACAGCCCTACTAGTAAAGAAATTAGAGAATAGGAACGCTAGTATCACAGTTGAGGTTCGACTCTTGCTCTGCAAGAGGACCATCTAGTGAGGAGCATAACGTTGGATGAGGACTATGATGGGTGAAAGGTGCTTTGGCAGTGCTATTCACAGGACGGATGACATAGGCAATCGACACGACGCTGCGCTAGCAAGAATGTAAACCGAGTAGCCTCCACAATAGAACTTGAGTTCGCACGAACACCAAGGCCAGTACAATTGGCTTTGATATCAAGTTTAGAGTTGATAACAAGGTTCCGTTCATTTCACGAAAAATATTTTTTGAAAAAATATTTTTCATAATTTCCGATGTTTGGGGATGGAAATTGAGTCAAAGAAAATATTTTCCGATCAATGAAAAAAATTCTTTGAAAACTAAGGAAACTAATTTCCTTTCCTTAGGGAAAGGAAATCATTTCCCCTCCTCTCGTGCTCATGCCCTTTCCTCCTCTCTCTCCTTTTTCCCATCGTTTTCACGCAACCTAGAGTTTTCATCTCTAGAGCCGCTCCTCCTCCGCTGCTGCCTTGCGCGTCCTCTCGTCTCTTGTCTCGTCCCATAGCCGACGAGCTCGAGCGATGCCAAGCCTAGCCTTGCCTCGCCATATCCGGCGATGCTCAGCGGAGCTCGAGATCGGCGAGGCGAGGCCAAGCCTTGCTAGATCTAGCGAGGCAAGGTGAGGCCTTGCTCACCCAAGGCCGGCGAGCTCGAGCGAGGCCGAGCCTACCTCGCCTCGCTAGATCCGGCGATGCTCGGCCGAGCTCGAGACCGGCTAGGTGAGGCCAAGCCTTGCAAGATCTGGCGATGTGAGGCTCGGCCTCACTCGCTCGAGGTCGGTCGCTGGCCACGGTGAGCCTCACCGACCTTGGGCGAGCGAGACCAAGCCTCACCTGTGGCCGGTTGCCGACCGTCACCGTGGTCGGCGACCGGCAAAGGAAGAAAGAAAGAGAAATAGAAAAGAGAAAAAAAGAAAAGAAAAGAAACATCAAAATACAAAATACAAAATTATTAAAAATAGTGCATGAAGGAAAATATTTTCAATACCGAATGGCAGAAAAATTTTCCGAGACTTTTTCAGGTTTCAGCCAAATACTGGAAAATTATGTCATTTTCCAGGAAAATGACTTTCTGGAAAATATTTTTGAAAAACGTAACATTTTTCGCGAAACGAACGGAGCCAAAAAAAATTATTATTGTATCACTTAACTCTATAATGTGTTAAAATTAAGAGGCATTTCAATATCCTAACAAAATTCAATTTAGGAATTGCGACAAACCCCCCCCCCGCCCCGGCCCAGTTTCAAAAGAAATTATTATACGAAACAGCCTTACTCAATCAGTCAATGACGCAGAAGTTGTCTGAGCATATTATAATAACAAGTTAACAACAAGTTTAATCATTACATGGGGCGGAACTTGAGCCTTGATCTGCGTTCTTGAGCTTCATAATTAGGGTTTTATTATATAAAAAAAAAAAACACCAAATCCTGTCCATTTGCCATGCGCCACGTTATCGCCATGTGAGGTAAACAATTTAATTTTTTTCCTTCTTTTATTTACCCGGGGTAAAATTCCGTGAAGCTTACTGCATGCGTCGAACTATTCGCCTTTGTTTAAACCCAGCAAGCGGGTTTCTTACACTTGGAATCTTTTGGATCTCTTTTCCCCCTTCCTTCTTTCTCCCCTCCTTTTCCTTATTTTAATTTGAGGATAGGATTTTGAAAATTTGTTTTGCTCTCGGTCCGAAGCTGCAGATCTCAAGAAGGCCACACCAGCTCTGTGCAAGCCAGCCACAGCTGTTTAGTGTGTTCATGTTCGTATTAGGATATTGTTCAAGATTGCTTCTATACCATGGACACTAATCAAGAGATTAATTTAAGAAAAACAGTGCAATTCTTAATGCGTTAACCGTTGCAATAAAGCATGTAACTAGTGTTTTGAAGCTTTAAGCTTTCCCTGTACAGGATGCTTTATGAGTACTCTAAGGGTACCCACTAACGGTGGACCCATAAATATCACACTCTGGATTTTGTGGACGAATATCCTCAAGACGCTTGCTAAGTAACTAAGTCATTGTTTAGTTTACGATGCACATTTTTTCTCGTTCCATCAGAGATGCTTACTAAGTACGGTAAAAATACTCATTAGCAAAGCCGTTAGTCATATCATGTGGTCGTATTAACGAGTGTCTTCAGAGCACAGGTTAAGCACACTTAATTTAAAATAATTCAACATCTAAAGTATTGAAAAATAATTCATAAGTAGTTACTTATAAAGCGGTCTTGAGGAAACCCCTTTAACAAAATACATATCGTATGTGTATGTTACCAATAAAGGTGACTTCCTGAAACCAAGAAGCCACGGTTTTCAGAAATTTGGTCCCTATCATTTGCAAATCTTGGAAGCCAAAAAGCAGACATGACCCATTTATCTGAAAAGCGTCCATGGGTTTGATCTTTAAATTATTCCACATGTAAGGGGCAATTTGGTCATCAAGATTCTCTATAAATACACTCCCAAGAGCACCCTTTAGGGCCACAACTCCTCTCATTTCGTTAAAAAAATAAATGGTTGGTCCAATATCCAACCGAGCAACTCTCCATTCCCCTCCAATCTTCTCAACCAAAATGCCATCTCCCTCTACTTCAATCCCCATGAAGCTCAAAACCCTAATCCAAACTCTCATCTTCTCGCGAGCCTGCCGTGTCACTCGAGCCCTCTCGAAGGTGAAATCTTTCCTCGCCGACGTCGTCCGGAAGGGACCGCCCGATTACTTCATTTACTTTGCCAAGAACAAGAGGAAGAGCAAGATGTACATCGGATCGTTTCGGATGTACTACAACTGGTGCTCTTCGCGCTCGTTCTCCACCCCGACTTCAGTCCTAGATGGGTTCCGGACGAACCACTTGTACTACGACTCGACGTGGAATTGCGCGATCCCGACGTCGGAGGCCCCGGTCACCGAGTACGAAGACGAAGGGGAGTCGCAGCTGTCCGGCTATCTCCAATGGCTCGAAGAGAAGAACAAGGCTAAAGAAAGCGGTAGCTTCGCCGAACCAAACAACGTCAACGAGATTGATGAGCTGGCCGACGAGTTCATCACCAAGTGCCACGAGAAGTTCATCCTGGAGAAGCAAGAGTCGGACAGAAGGTTCCAAGAAATGCTAGCGAGAGGCATTTGAAGTTGGAGGGTCTTCTCAGTTTTCGTAGCTGATGATGTTATAATCACTTTGACTTCTTCTAACTCGCTTGTGGGTTAAACTTGTTGGGCACAAAATGGGTATAATTCAAGCTTCGCTATTTATGACGTCGAAATTCGTCATTTTTTCTGGAAATTACCATGTCCATTTTCGCATGTCAGCTTCTAGTGAATCAAAAGCCTGCCCAAATTCCAACATTGACGTGGGTCTCCATAATCAAACCCAAAATAACCTAAAATACCACAAACATCGTCTCGTTTTGGCGCTTGTGGATTCAATTTTCAATCGCACGATGGCAAAGTCAAGTCTTGATCTTAGCTTTTACGAAAGCTGGTGAACATGCAAGATAAGATAAGGTAGGGAAATGAAAAGGGGCCAAAAGGAGGGAACCACATTTTAACCTTACAATTATTTGTTATTATATAAAATTAATGCTGGGATCATGGGGATTGAGTACGTTAATTAAACAATTTATCTGGGAGCTTTTTGAGGCAGTTCGTTCGGCGATAGACGTGCAGTGTCCCTTCATTACAAGCTGATTAGCATTAGAAAATTAGCATAGAATATATCAGGCTGACGATGTTCAGATTTCGTGGGAGCCCACTTGTTCGGCTTGAGGAGATCTCCCCAAGTCTTCAGAGGTAAGAGATAGAGCTAGGTTTGCTTTGGGGAAATTAATGTGTTATTTTTATGTTGTTAAAGCCTATGATCATGGGGATCTCTGTCACTACCTTGATGATTTATGCAATTTTTTTTAGGATTAATACCACGAAAAATATCAAATTGATGCACCAATGATAAATTTATCTCAAACTAATCTTTTGACCACCAAAAATCCAAAACTGGTACACATGTGACAAATTTACCCCAAGCTAATATTTTGACCACCAAAAACTCTAAACTGGTACATTTGTGACAAATTTACCCTCCGTTAGTTTTCGTTAAATTGGATTAACAATACGAAAATTTACAAACTGGTACACTTGTGACCAACAGAGAGTAAAATCCCAAATCGATACATCCGTCAACTGTTACTTGTTATCCAACTTAGTAATTTGACGGTAAAATTTAACAGACATTAACGAAGGGTAAATTTTTACACAGGTGTACCGGTTTGGGGTTTTGGTGGTCAAAAAATTAATTTAGGATAAATTTGTCACATATTTACTGATTTGGAGTTTTTCGTAATATTAACCCCTTTTTTTATATTTATAGTAAAACTATGTGATTTGATTCTCGAGTAATTACCGAGCAATTCGATGTGGAGCCGGTGGCGACACGAGACCTCGAACCTTTCGAAGCGCGGGATTTGGACACCCAACATCGATCCATCTATTTGATCACTTGGATTTCGAAGGTGTGCCGTGACCAAGTCGGAGAATTGGCAAACGACTTCGTGGAAAGAGCAGATTGACCGATGTACCTTTGTTCACTTCAACTTGCAAACGTGTATGGTTCGGATGGTGATGGATTGCGATTTTTAATTCTTTTGACAAGGACTTGTACCTTGGATTCCCTAACCACTAGGACATGCGCTCTCCATGAGCTATAGTTTTGATATTGCATATGTATGGTGCTATCTTCGCTGAACTCATATTGCGAATCGGGCCCGCAAGAGAATTGCCGTAATAATCACACCAGGCTGTTTGAAGAAATTTCTACTTTCAAAATTAGGCTTTTCCATAAGTTTTTGGCACTCATGCTCTATTGGTTTTAAACATGAAACGGTCGAAATCTCGTCAAATATAGAAATATTATATATATAGAGTTGTTATATGATTTTTTTATGGTTTCGCTTGAAACTTCAAATATATTTTGTATTTTCATATTTTGGAGGAAAAAAATTGCGATTGAAGGTTATAACTGGTAACCTTGCCTTGACAGCTTTCCTCTCGTCAACAGCCATTGCGACATTGCCTAATCTTTCGTAAGCAGCACTGCAACTGCATTCTTCACGGGATAGTTACAAAAAAAAAGGGCAAAAGGACACTAGAAGTGCCATGAGTTGTGTACGGAGGATACTTTGGTGTCATAACTTTTTTTCGGATCACTTTGGTGCCAAGTCGGAGGAAAAAAGATCACTTAAGTGCCAATTTGGCCGGAAATCCGACGTAGCATTTTTTATTAATTTCTGACGCCGACGTGGCTCGCCGGAGGATGAGTCAGCGTGTACAGTCAGAATTACAAACTGGTACACTTGTGACCAACAGAGAGTAAAATCCCAAATCGATACATCCGTCAACTATTACTTGTTATCCAACTTAGTAATTTGACGGTAAAATTTAACAGACACTAACGAAGGGTAAATTCTTACACAGGTGTACCGGTTTGGGGTTTTGGTGGTCAAAAAATTAATTTGGGATAAATTTGTCACATATTTACCGATTTGGAGTTTTTCGTAATATTAACCCCTTTTTTTATATTTATAGTAAAACTATGTGATTTGATTCTCGAGTAATTACAGAGCAATTCGATGTGGAGCCGGTGGCGACACGAGACCTCGAACCTTTCGAAGCGCGGGATTTGGACACCCAACATCGATCCATCTATTTGATCATTTGGATTTCGAAGTCGTGCCGTGACCAAGTCGGAGAATTGGAAAACGACTTCGTGGAAAGAGCAGATTGATCGATGTACCTTTGTTCACTTCAACTTGCAAACGTGTGTGGTTCGGATGGTGATGGATTGCGATTTTTAATTTTTTTGACAAGGACTTGTACCTTGGATTTCCTAACCACTTGGACATGCGCTCTCCATGAGCTATAGTTTTGATTTTGCGTATGTATGGTGCTATCTTCGCTGAACTCATATTGCGAATCGGGCCCGCAAGAGATTTGCCGTAATAATCACACCAGGCTGTTTGAAGAAATTTCTACTTTTAAAATTAGGCTTTTCCATAAGTTTTGGCACTCATGCTCTATTGGTTTTAAACATGAAATGATCGAAATCTCGTCAAATATAGAAATATTATATATAGAGTTGTTATATGATTTTTTTATGGTTTTGTTTGAAACTTCAAATTTATTTTGTATTTTCATATTTTGGAGGAAAAAAATCGCGATTGAAGGTTATAACTGGTAACCTTGCCTTGCCAGCTTTCCTCTTGTCAACAGCCATTGCGACATTGCCTAATCTTTCGTTAGCAGCATTGCAACTACATTCTTCACGGGATAGTTACAAAAAAAGTACTAAATCTATCGTATGGATGCCAATTAAGTCTAAAATTTTCAATTTGGCCAATTTAATCCTAAGCCTTTTGACGATTTTCAAAGTAATCTTTCCGGCCATTGGCCGGAAATAGTTGACATGGATGTTGGCCTTCTTACGTGGCACAACCGGTGCTAACATGGACAATTTTTGCAATTTCTTTAAATTTTTTGTGATTTTTTTCTTTTTTTCAATTAGGATTTTTTTGATAATTTTCTCCATTCTTCGAGGTAATAGTACATTTGCACGACGCGTGCAATTTCGGTCTGTGCATTCAATTGAGAGGTTCTTGCGTAGGCTAAAATAATATGTCGAGAAATTTTCGAGAGTGAGACCACTCAAATTTGATATTTTTCAAGTGTAAAAGATGGGTTGTTTTGTTCATTCTGCTAAGTAAATGTTTGTTGTTTGGGCAAACTATGGCATGCATATGGGGGAACTCAAAAGGGACTAGGGAGATCCATAGAGAGAGGTAGGAGAAAGGCATGAGAAGCAATTTCCATGGTGGTTCAAGAGTCGAGTAAATACCATGAATTGAAGCACATTCATTGATGTGCGAGTAGCAAATGGATCATAACACTTGAAATAAAAATATTATTCAAGTATCTCAACAGAGTCATGTTTTCCTCGATCTTTAATAAGATAGAAACATTATCCAACTAGTTTTCTAATCGATAAGTTATAAAAATGTCACATCCTAACCTCGGGGTTATTAATACGACATTTTAGGCGCGTCGCCGTCCCGTTTCTTTTATCTTTTCATTAAGAGAATGCGGAAGCATACAATAAATACCCAGACAAGCAGTAAGGAAAAACAACTTTGCAATACACTACTTCTTCTATTACATAAGTGTATTTTACAAGCCCCTTTTCTACGGGCATTTTTTCCTTTTCAACACACTACACTTATCCGCATAGACCGGGGGAAACTCCTATCTCCTCTAGCGTGACAACAGCTCCCAAAACTGGTGTGAGGCTTCCATGCCTATAAATCTGAAAAACAACAGAGTGAGTCAAGGATTCAGTGAGTAAACTTACTAATCCTTGGATAGGAGGATGCCTCGCCGTCAAACAAGCACGTGAACATAACCGCGTCAAGTGTCGATGGCAAATTAATAACAAATGCGTGCATTACCTTGCCTGTGTACTATTCATGATTCACGCATCCACCAAGAGAACATCAAGCATGATACATAAATGGTGTACACATAAATAACACATCACACTAGAACAAGAGCAGGCACAACGGGAGGTTCATATAATTTAAAGCCATCATACTAAAACAAAGAGCATGCACAAGAGGGTTCATTCATTATTTTAACCGTTCACACGGTTATTCCGGAATCCATCGGGCAGCGTTTCCTAATCCAAGGGTAACGGCTATTATCCGAAATCCATCAGGCATCCGAACTTAATTGGACAATATTCCCTAATCCAAGGGTGACGGTGATCGTCCGACAACCAATCCGTCGGGCATCCGACTTTAATCGGGCAACGTCCCCTAATTCAAGGGTGACGGCGATCCTCTGACAACCAATCCGTCGGGCATCCGAATTTAATCGAGCAAGGTCCCCTAATCCAAGGGTGACGGCGATCCTCCAACAACCAAACCCCATCGGGCATTCGAACTTAATCGGGTAATGTCTCTTAATCCAAGAGTGACGGCTAGGTTTATTTCCTCGTGTGACCATGCAAACAAACATCACAATCCAGCTTCTTATTTTCATTACATTAGTTGATACAAGAAAGGCCCAAGGGCATGAATCATGCCAAGTGTATAACATGATTTACCTTTCCAAAACCGTACATCATACTGGACACGGCACCAGGTTCGTGGCCCAAACCAACCGGTCAAGACGTCGACCTACACCAAGCAAAACTTTGGATCGGCATGCCTCAATACCGACCCGCCAAGCGAGATTCGTTTCAACACGTCTCGACGCTGATCTCAATAGAGTGAGACCCGTCCATGGCTAGGGCATGCTTTCAACGTACGAGCAAACATACAAAGTTGCACGTGAACAAAACATAGAAACCTTACATGAACAAGCAATAGGAATTCAATCAAGCAACACATATAATCACAAGCAACGACTAGGAACACGTCCCGCCCTACCGACATAACACAACGCCCTAACCAAGGGTTAGAAAGTCTACTTACAACACGCCTAAAGGTGGTGGTCGGCGGTGGGGGCGAGCGGCACGGCAGGGGGCACGAGAGAGAGAGAGAGAGAGAGAGAGAGAGAGAGAGAGAGAGAGAGAGAGAGAGAGAGAGAGAGAGAGAGAGAGAGAGAGAGAGAGAGAAGGCGGCAGTGAGAGGACGTGAGAGCAAGAGGGAGAGGAAGAGAAAGTGGCGTGTGAGAGAGGAGAAGGGAGCTAGTGGTGAATAATGAGGAAATGATGCCATTATTTATAGGCCATCTTGCCAACTTGCTATGGAAGTTAGCCAACTTGCAAGATAAGTTTATAATAAAGCCATTAACTTGACTAAATCAACTTGTCTTCTTGCCCACCAAGTCTTTGAGCGTGACTCTCTTGTTAGGCGTGAACTATGGCCTTGGTCTTCAAGACTTAATTATTAGTGGCTTCTACAAGACACTCTATTATTGGTGGCTAGGTTTCATTATTGGCCAGCTTGTTCAAGAAGTTGTCAATAATGCAACTAATAAGTCAAGTCAATTTGTCTTCTTGTCCCAAGAAGCATTCTAGGCGTGAACCATGTAGCCTTATCAAGAAACATTCAATAATTGGGGTCCTTGCTAGTTCTAATGGCATATCTTCCTTTGAACATCCAAATTTCACTAAAACTTGACTTAATAAGGAACTAAGGTAATTAAGGGTTTTCAACTGCCATAAACGATCGACCATCCCATTTGGAACCGAGGTTCGGTGTAAAAATATGTCCAAGTATGGTTAGACACAACCGAGCCAAAGACTAGACTGAATGGCGCAAGGCCAAATCAGTCGGATTGTCCTAGCATATGGCTTGTTCGGTCGGGCCTGACTAGGTGCAGGGCCTGGCATACAACTGGGCCATACGGGCGTAGGGCTGAGCACACGGCCGAATGCATGGGCAAGGTACCAGGCCGCATGGACGGTGTGCCGAGCACACAGTTAGGCTACACAAGCAAGGAGCCGAGTGCGTGAACAAGACACATGAACGAGAGACTGGTTCATGGACTGAACACATACATTGGCTCACGGGTGGGCATAAGTTTGATCGGCACGAAACTATGTCTGGGCTGGAACCGATGGGAACAAGGCCTAGCACATGGGTCGAGCACAATGACTAGCACACGGCCGGGCACAAGGCTGGCTCGTGGCCTGACTGACGAGCACACGACTAGTCTATGGCCGGGCATAAGGGCTGGCTTGCATGGCCGACACAAAACCTGGCTTGCATGGCCGGCACAAAGCCTGATCCGCACCTAAGCCACTAGGCTCTTAGCCTAGCACACGACTCATCTATGGCCTACCCGACTCAACGCCATGATCCATGGCCAATTCACAATCGGTTCATGTTCGAGCATCAACGATCCATAGTCAACCCTTGGTTGTCATGTAGTTGCATGAAAATCGAACTCAACGGAGTCGATCCATGGTCTCCCGTGACCGATGCGTGGCCGAGCGGAATCACCCTCAACCGACTTATGCTAGCACGGCATCGATCCATGGCCATCCGGGATCATTCCACTGCCGACTCTTACGGTCGAATCACTCTAATCGACTTGTGTGATTGGGAAGTCATTTCATTGTCGATCTTTTGGCCAATGCATGGACGATCCTTCGATCAAGCCATGACCGATCCTTTTTAAATACCCATTCCGACCATACCAGCTGATCCATGACCGACCCTCAGATCGGTCCGTTCGCCACTTCCATGGCCATTTCCTTTGGTTGATTCGGTCCAAATTGGGGATGTTACAAAAAACGAGCATCACTTATTGTATTTAGTTTTAGCTATGCTTGCATGCTCCGTAAATGACTTCCATATTTGAAGGAATTTCCCTCGACGTGCTGCAGCTTGCGAGTTTGGGTAATAGGACTACAAACTTCCTATTTTAAAGAATGGAAAAATGACACAAAACAGTCCCTAAACTTTGACACAATGTGCAATAAGGTCATTGAACTTTTAATTTGTTCAACGTGGTCCCTGAACTTTAACTCAATGTCTAATGTGATCCATAAACTTTTAATTCGTTTAATTTCGTCCCAAAACTTGTGGTACATGTTCAATTTAGTCCCTGAACTATAAAAATGTTAAATGTAGTACTTGCATATGCTACATTAAACATTATCATATAGTTTAGAAACTTCATTGAACATGTACTAATAGTCCATGGATCACATTAAACAAAGTAAAAGTTTAAATACCACATTAAATATTAAGATAAAATTCAAGGATTATATTAAATAAATTAAAACTTCAGATACCAAACTTCAATAACTATTTGTATCATTATTCCTTAGTGAATCAAGAGAGGTAACTGCTAATAATAAAACACTAAATATAACTAATCGATGCAAGACTACAGTGACTGGTCATGTCAATAATGCTTTGCACAGAGTTAGGACACTGAAAAGGAGAAATAACGTGGTAAGGCATCGATTCTTCTATTGACAGAGACATCTCTTTATTCCGAAATTTTACTCTTTCTAGCACGTCGGGACTGAGCTCTTTTCTTTTTCTTCTTTTTGGTCCCCTGGCTTCCTAACCTGAAGACCGGCTTTAGAGAAAAAGTGAATGCCCACAGTTTCATGGATCCATTCAAATCAAATGAGGATAAACCCATGCGTGTACAGTAAAGGCATGAATAGCTCCTCCGAATTCAAAAATTGTTTCGACTAAAGTAGTTTCAATGCGTTGTCGATGGACAAATTTGGGGAGGGATAGCTGACGGGGCAAATGGGAACTGTTTTTCTGTCAAATTTAACAGATTGTGGTAATTTTAGAAATTTAGGGTTTAAAGTGCGAAAATTTTATAATGTAGGGTTCTCATAGACAAAGAAAAACAAATACGTAACTATTGATCCCTACCTTTCTGCATGCTAGAGCGCATAATAAGCTTTAGATTATCGATTGACCTTATCATAAATTAATCTGCAGAAATGTCATAGCCAATTTTAATCGGTTATTTGTATCTTTGAAAGGACTATGATCGTGTCGAGCATTCTAAGGCCACCCGATCGGTTATAAACCTATTGTACCACCAATTAAATCATAATTTTTTTTAATTTTATCAATTTGGTCATAAACCTTTGCACAAATTTCTAATGTGGTCCATCATGTCAATTTTCGCTAGAAATCAATGATCGGAAGAACTATATTAGAATTTTACCCAAAGGCTTAGGACCCAATCAGCAAATTGAAAAGTTAATGACTGAATTGATATTTGTACAATTTATAATTGACTGGACAATTTCCCTTAAAGAAAGGTCAAGACTATAGATATCCACTCTGCAAAGCCATAAACATCAGTTGGTGTTTATTTTAAACCTAGTCGAGCGACTAAGTATTTTCTGGATCTTGATAATATATAATTGTTTAGGCTTCTCTAAACCCATACCGTGCATGCAAAAGCCGGCGATTGCGTTATATGGAATACTATTGCGAAGTCGGATACCATGATATCCCCAAGCTCCTCTACATCTATGCTTGGAAGAATGTTGAAGTGGGTGAGGAAAATAGAGGTGAAGAAAATGAAAGTGAAGAAAGACAAGGTGGAGAAATTAATTTCTTATCTGTTGTTTGGAAAGAGTGGAGAATGAAGGTGGAGAAAGTATTGAGAATTAGGGATATTTTGTATGGAAAATGTGGTTCAGTGGAAGGAAACTTCTGATACTGCGAAAAACAAGCAACTAATTCCGAAGGGTAAAAAAATTGATTGTCGGATTTGGGT